TTTTTTTTTCCTCCCTCTCTCTGCAGTAGTTTCAAGGATCTGGCAGCTGGGAGCATTCTTATTAGATCTGCATCAATTGCATCCTATAATTAATTACAGAGGGGAAATGATAGGTTGGTTTCTGTGCATCTGCACAGCTACAGGAGTCTGCTATTACCAGCCCAACATGTTCATTTTAAACACAAGGTCTGTCCTCTCAGGATGTAAAGCTCCCAGTTGGAAAGCTCTTGCTGTTGTTATCTCAGACTGACTCACCAAGAGGATGGGTTTTGATCTCTCAAGCATCCCAAGAACAGCAGAACCCTTTCTGTGCTCCCTGGATGCTTCAGGCACAAGCTGAGAGTGGGGCACTTTTAGGGCCTGGGTGGTTCTGCCAGTGCTAACCAGCACACCCAGCTAGTTGCATTCCACATGAAAAACAACTTAAAAGCTTTTTTTTTGTCTCTCTCTGTTCTTCCACAGTTTGGTAAGCAAGTGAAATAAGCACTGACATTTAAAATATCACAGGCGTCTGATTTAGCACCCACTGAAACAGGCAGAATAGTTGACATTCCACGAAATTACTGCTTCAGGTGCTGGTTTAAAATATTGTCATATTGAAAGTGAAATAGCTGGAGACTTGTTTTGTGCTTATTCATTCATAATTCATGCTCTGAAATGCCCTTCTGGCACAAAGTAATCGCTTGCTGCCCTAAAGGCAGCTTTGTTTCAGTTCCTACATCCCTTTGATAGGAGTGGGGAGAAGAAGAATGGGAAGTTCAAAACCAGCTCTGGTGCACAAGAAACTTAATGGGCTGAGAGGGATTTAGAAAGTAATTTAATGTTTGCAAGAACGATACGGTGAATAAATGATTTTTTCCCAGCAAGTTATGCATAAAATGGAATTTTCAAAGTTTTCTATTCAGGGACAATTCACCTGTGTCATTTATGGCTTTTTAGGTGGGGGCTGCTAAGACAGCACTGTGAAATTCCTCCTTATTTGTTTCCCAGTGATGCTTAGAGTTGCAATTTAGACTGTTGGACAATGAAAATCAGTGGAGTGAGTGTCCCCGGGGGGCCATGTCAGTGTGTGCAGCTCTCTAACAGCTTTTGCTGACAGGCACTATTAGCCCGTTGGGTTTGCCTGCTCCCAGGAAAGGTTTGGAAGTGCTGGGCCGGCTGGGAGGGAGTCTGGGAGCTGGTCCTGGGCCAGCTTTGGTGAGTGCCCCACGCCTGGGAGCTGCTCCTGCCTGTCCTAGGTGTCACTTGGAATTCATATTTCTACATCCAATCTGGCCAGAGAAGAATCACAGAATATCCTGAGCTGGAAAGGACCCACAAGGATTGAGTCCAGCTCCTGGCCCTGCACAGGGCACCCCAAAATCCCACCCTGTCCCTGGGAGTATTGTCCAAACACCCCTTGAGCTCTGGCAGCCTTGGGGCTGTGCCCACTGCCCTGGGGAGCCTGTTCAGTGCCAACCACCCTCTGGGGGAAGAACTTTTCCCTAATATCCAACCTAAACCTCCCCTGGCACAGCTCCAGCCT